TTTGAGCCATGAATTCGACGATCACTTGAAAGAATGTGGCATTCTTTCAGAGTTGACACCTCCTGGAACTCCTCAATGGAACGGAGTATCCGAACGGAGGAATCGGACTTTGTTAGACATGGTTCGGTCAATGATGGGTCTTAGTGAACTCCCTATCTCGTTTTGGGGACATGCGCTACAAACAGCAGCACTAACACTGAATAGAGCTCCGTCAAAAGCTGTTGAAAAGACTCCATATGAATTATGGACTAAGAAACCTCCTAGGTTGTCTTTTCTCAATATTTGGGGATGCGAAGCATATGTCAAGCAATTAATTTCGGACAAACTTCACCCTAAATCGGATAAGTGTTTCTTTGTGGGATATCCAAAAGAAACCAAAGGGTATTACTTCTACAATAAATCCGAGAACAAAGTATTTGTTGCTCGTGATGGTGTCTTTTTGGAGAAGGATCACCTTTCCAAAATGACAAGTGGGAGGAAAATCAAACTCGATGAAGTTCGAGAGGACGAGCAACAATGTCAACCTGACAAAACTGACAATCTAGATACTTTGGAAGCATCTGAGAAGATTGGTCAGAGTCAAACAGACAATGTAAATGCTCAACCGATTACCCTACGTAGGTCGCAACGGCAAAGATCTCAACCAGACAGATACCTCGGTATTGTCTTAACTGGTGATCATGACATCCTAGTTATGGATGGTGATGAGCCGGCGACATACAAGCAAGCTATGACGAGCCCCGACTCTGTAAAATGGCAAGAGGCCATGAAATCCGAGATGGACTCCATGTCTGAAAATCAAGTCTTTGACTTGGTGAATTTGCCCGAGGGTTATACACCCATTGGATGCAAATGGATCTTCAAAGTGAAGACAGAAAAAGATGGAAATGTATCGGTATACAAAGCTAGACTGGTGAAAAAAGGTTATAGACAAGTCCACAGGATTGACTATGACGAAAAATTTTCACCAGTTGCAACGCTAAAGTCCGTCCGGATTATCCTAGCGATTGCTGCACATTACGATTACGAAATATGGCAAATGGATGTCAAAACCGCCTTCCTTAATGGGATTTTGGAAGAAACTGTGTATATGACACAGCCAGAGGGTTTTGTCGATCCAGGCAACGCTGGAAAGGTTTGCAAGCTGAAGAAGTCCATTTATGGACTAAAGCAAGCCAGCAGGAGTTGGAATCTGCGATTTGATGAAGCCATTAGCAAGTTTGGTTTTATCAAGAATCCAGATGAGTCTTGTGTATACAAGAAGGTCAGTGGGAGTGATATTGCATTCCTAGTCCTGTATGTCGATGACATACTGCTCATTAGAAACAGCACAAAATTATTAGAGTCCGTAAAGGGCTGGTTGGGAAAGTGCTTTTCAATGAAGGACGTAGGAGAGGCACAGTACATATTGGGCATCAAAATCTATAGGGATAGATCTAAGAGGATGATTAGATTAAGCCATAGTACTTACATTGATAAGGTACTGGCTCGATTCAACATGGAAAATGCCAAAAGAGGGCATTTACCCATGTCCCATGGCATAACTCTCAGCAAGAAACAGTGTCCACAGACACCTGTTGAACGAGAAAGAATGAATCAGATCCTATATGGTTCACTAATCGGATCGATCATGTATGCCATGATATGTACTAGGCCGGATGTATCGTATGCCTTGAGTGCAACGAGTCGATACCAATCGAACCCAGGAGAGGCGCATTGGACTGCGGCCAAGAATATCCTTAAGTACCTGAAAAGGAACAAGGATAAATTCCTGGTGTATGGAGGCCACAAAGAACTGGTTGTTGAAGGTTACACCGACGCTAGCTTCCAGACTGACAGAGACGACTTCAAGTCACAGTCGGGATATGTATTCTATCTGAATGGAGGAGCGTTCAGCTGGAAGAGTGCCAAGCAGAGCACCACTGCAGACTCTACAACTGAAGCCGAGTACTTGGCCGCTTAGGAAGCTGCCAAGGAAGCTGTTTGGATTCGCAAGTTCATAAGTGAACTTGGTGTTGTACCCTCAATCAAGGGACCGATAGACCTTTATTGTGATAATAATGGAGCTATCGCTCAGGCCAGAGAGCCGAGAGAACACCAAAAGGTCAAACACGTGCAACGGCGATTTCACATGATAAGGGAATGGAAATCCGAAGGTGAAATCAGAATTTGTAAGATCGGCACGGATGATAATGTGGCCGATCCTTTGACTAAACCTCTGCCTCAATTGAAACACAACAAACACGTTGAGGCAATGGGAATCAAGCATGTGGGAGACTGGCTTTGATATTCCCTGTACAAGTGTTTTAATTAAACAGGGTTGATTTAATGTAAGACACTGTACTAAAACCATTCATTAATGGAGTAATTAATTTTTGTGCAAAATTATCATTCACTCCATTACTATTTAATTGTGGTTTAGAATTAAATAATGAGTCCATTCGATTTACGGAAATCCATTACCATGTCTTGGATAAAGAAACACCTGTTAAGTGAACATTGAATATTGAATCGAAAAGTATCCCTAATCGAGGTCATCTAACAGGTGGACGATTGATGACCGCAATAGATTAGTGTGTAGTATGATTTACAGCAGCGTTTCTTGTGCTGCGAGGACGTGACAGTCATAAATCATTTGCACAGGTACAGTTTAGAACTGTACTGGATAAGACCTATGAGAGTACTTTATGAAAATTAAATTTTGTCATAAGTACATTTCTCATTATGGCTATAGGAACTTATTTCCTCAGACCATGAGTACTGTGAAGTTTTCTTGTTTGAGTACTAGGCTCTTTGATGTTTCCTAACGTCTGCCGTAACTGGGGATCATAACGGGAACACTCGGGAGTCTATGTCCTCTTAGTAAGAAGAACTTACAATACAAGACTGGGATTGTCCCCCTACTAACAATAGGGAAAATGTTTTGTTGTTGAAAAGGCCGCTCGAAGAGTGAGACTGTAAAATGCATGGCCATGCTCAAATGGATTTTAGAAATAATCTGCTTATTGACAGTCGAACTCGGAGATCGAGAAACACTTATTAACGTAATAAGGATGACAAAGAATCTTACCTTATAGTTCACGAAGAAACATTAAGTGACAAAGGAAATGAGCTATACACAATTGCACACTTGTCCGAAAGGACAAGTGGGAGATTGAAAGGAATGGTGTCCTTCCAACAAGTGTATTATTCCGGTAGAGGGTTCAGAATTATTACAGAGGTAATTCTTCAGTAAGGTCAAGTGATCGGAATGCCTAGGTGGAGGCCGCTTCCGATCAGTAATATCAAGGTACAATTGATATTACAGCTTAATCTTAACTAAACCCTTCGGGTCGAACCCAATCGAATCTCCGATACGAGACGTCGAATTAATCCGAAAGGATTTAATGGGTCGACAGAGTTTTACGAATACAGACGTCGGAAGTCGAGCCTAGGGCGTCGAGACCGAGCGTCGCAAAATCACAATCGACAAGTATGAGCGTAGCCATAGCTAGGCTAGGCTAGCTCATCATAGTCACTAGGCGCGCCATGGCAGCCCTAGCATGATGCTAGGCACCATGGCTGGCTATCGCTAGAACCAGGCGCGCCAGCACAGCCCTAGCATCATGCCTAGGCACTGTCGCAGCCCTAGCATGATGCTAGGCACCATCGCAAGCCAGCAGCCCATCGCAGGGCCTGTACGCATCACTAGGCGCACCATGCGTGGCCTAGGATGGCTGGGCGCCATCGCAACCCAGGCAGCATCTCTAGGCGCACCATGCGTGCCCTAGGATGGCCTGATGCCATAGCAGCCCTAGCATAGTGATGGGCGCATGGCAGGACCACACACACCAAGCATAGCTAGTGCTAGGCACTGGCGCATGCGCGGTGCGTGGTGCCTGGGCGAGGCATGTGCGTTCATAGTGCGCAGTGCCGAGGCTGATGCGTGAGGGAGTGCGAGAGTGTGTGCGAGGGGCTGGCAAGCTAGTAAGCAACATCAAGCCAAGCATGCGTGGCTCGCTAGCAGCACGCATGCTAGGCACTGTGTGCGAGAGAGATGTGTGGTGCGAATGGTGTGGGAGTGCGATGCGTGGCAAGAGGCCAGCATGCGTGGCTCGCTAGCAGCACGCATGCTGGGCCATGCGAGTAGCGAGGATGCGAGGGATGCTGGCAGCAGCGCCAGCACGCACCAGCCAAAACCAGCGCCAGCATGCACCAGCGAGCATCAGTGATGCTGCTGGGCTTGTGCTAGCATGCTAGGCTAGCTGGCACAGCCAGCTGGCACGCTAGTTGGCTAGCTGGCACAGCCAACTGGCACGCTAGCTGGCAGCTGGGCAGCATGGTAGGGTGAGGCGGTTTATGAGGAGAGTGGGGACCAAGGCTTTGGGAAAGCCTTGGGGAGCAAGGCATTGGTCCCCCCACCTCTTCATGGTCCTCACCTAACACTCTCTCCCTCCTTGACACTTGTCGAATTGTGATTGCATTTGTTTATTGATTTAATTTTAGAAATAAATTAATTGACAAATAAAACATTCTCCCACATTGGTTGGGGAATGAGAATCAAGGGATCATTTCCCTATAAATACCAAGCTTGGTATTGGGATTTGATACAACCTTGAGTGGAATTAAAAAGGCAACTCTAGAAAAGAGTAAACCTTTGATTCGTAAAACTCATAGTTATTTTGTCCGGGTCTTGACTAACCTTCAAGACTTAGGACGCTCGGGTCGGGTCGAGGGTACGATCCGTCGGAGATCTCGTCTTTTCGGGATTTTGAAGTAAGAGCACTTTAGGAGCGAAGCACGCGTCAAAGGTATAATTCTTGTCCTTAATCTTGTTTGATTAAGTTAATTATGCTTGTTTAATTGCTTTAATTAAGGGGCGGGTCTTGGTGGGTTTCCTTCCGCGTAGTGTCGGGTCACTACGAAACCCTACAGTTTTCAGTACCATATTCATGAATAATGAACCAATGAACTAAGTTTAGAGAATTTGTTACCGCAGTTTCCTAAGCTGTGGGGTTTACTGCCATTATGCCTTTCCTAGGTAGCTCCTTGAAGTGTGTCTTCAGAAACAGCTCAGGAGCTGTTGGCAGCTGGCCCTTGTTCTTCGCCACCTTTGATACAAAAGAATAGGAATAAACGTTAAACAAGTCACACCCTTGTTACATTGGAATACACAAAAATGCCTTCTAATATGAGATCTTTTTAAATAAACTTACCATCCTTTTTTCATGTTGGGTCGCTGACAACGAAACCTGAAAGTGGGTCCCTCGGACGGGATTTTCCATAGAACCGCCCCTTCTGTTCTTCTTGTTTTTGGCCGACCTCTCCTTGTAAGTTGGATCCGATGCAACAATGTTTATCATCTCCTTGTGGATCTCCTCACTCAGCCAACTTGGCTGGGCGCCATTCATCTTGTGCGTGATGGTGTAGAACATGTCACGCAGGCGTGTTGCTACCCTCCTCCGAAATGTGACCTTCACTAGCTCGTTCACCTGGGGTGCCCATCTGAATTGTGCATGTAAATGATAAAATACAGAAGTTATACACAAAACTAAATTAGTACAATATCTAAAAACATGTATTAACCAAGACCCAAAAATGTCATACGTTGAACAAGTTCCACCAGTGTTCCTTCGTAGCTGCAGGAACTTCTCCAAAGTTCCTCCAAGGGTCTCGGTAGTATCCAGTAATCGTACTGGATACCGCACTCCGAACCTTAGGATCATCAAACCTATAACAAACGGGAAACAACAATGTTAAACAAGTTCGAGAATAGTAATATAAGCCTTGTACCTCATCATCCATATCATGATATGTACGTACCACAGCGTAGTAGGGTCCAAAAACGGGAGCTGTGACTCATCCTGTGACTCGTCCTATGACTCATCCCGTGGCCCATCTTCTGGAGGAGTGGATGGGCACGTTTGATCCTTACCCAAATCGATGGCCTCCGCATCGAACATCTCCTCATCCTGGTCGTCGATGAAAAGGGCGCGGGCGGTCATTTTCTCTTTCCCCTTTAATTTCTTCGATGATTGCCCACTTTTTCCACCCGCCATGACTACGTGAATCAGATGTTAGTAAAATGACAAGATATTATAAATAACAAGTGCAGTGCAACGTAATATGGCTTTTATACAAACACTGAAAAGTTTTACATAAGCCTAATTAATAGTTTGATTTTACAATAAGAAGCATACTTTTATAGGAGATTAACATATTCTCCTACTCAGTACTCTCATCACTACTTTCACTACTAGAGTCATCACTACTATCATCTAATACTACATCGATGTCATCATCATCGTCACTATCACTATAGCCGATACTAGATTTATCGTCTTCATCGCTTGAGATCACAAAGCCATTGCCATCGTCTTTATCATCATCATCCTTGGCATAGTCTGGAATGTCATTCGGTGGGCAAAGCGTTGCATGTACTATTAGGGATGGTGATTGCAGAAACTCTAAGTCCACCGGAGCATCAACCACTGACCGTGCTTGTGTTTTAAACACAGACCACCATTGAACACGGTCCTGTTTCAGGCTAGGGTATGATGCGTAGTACACTTGAGCCACTTGGTAAGATAAGACAAATGGATCATATTTAGGGTATTTCTTAGTATGATTTACTTCGATTAGCGTATATTGTTCGTGTATGTTCATTCCCCTACCACAATCCATCCAATTGCACTTAAACAAAATTGTCTTGTACTGTCTCTTAGGTCCCGTGTAGACAAGTACAATTATGTCGTCTAAAATGCCGAAGTACTCTCTGCCATCCTCACTTGATACACACACACCATAATTCATGGTGGATTTGTGCTTGCCATGGGCATGTGTAAGGAAATTAAATCCACCTACAAAAATCTGGCCCCAAGTACGAACTCGCCTGAAGGGACGCATGCACAACGCTCGCAGGACATCCGACTTTGGCTTCTCTTCGACCACCTATAAAGTGGTTGAATATCAAAATCACGGTTCCTGAATTCAATGAATTGAAATGCAAGATGTAAAATACAGAATTATTTCACAGTCACACCGCGTATATCACCTTGTCATGAAACCAATTAGAAAATTCAGCTTCGAAGTTCTCCATGACTTCTTCTCTACGCAGGAAAGGTCGAGTACTAAGAATGTAGTCCTCAAACTTCCTACGAGGCCAAACACACAATTTAAATCTACAAAGTCATCATTGTAAATGATTGTAAATAAAAATACACTGAATACCTGGGCCTAATATACCTTTCGTATTCGCCAAGAATGCCGTTGTTTCGTAACACGAACAAATGTGCACACTCGAGTTCTTTGTCATCTAAGAACTGAGTTCTACCCTCATTTGACACACGACCATTGTCCTCTTTGAACAACTCTGGTATTTTAGCGTCGTCCAATGTGGACTCAACGTCGGCATTCACATTTCGACCAAGATCTCGAGTTTTAGTGTCAACTGTCGACTGAAAGTAATTAGAGCAGAAGTTTGCTATCTCTTCAGTGAGATAAGCATTACATATGGACCCTTCAACTCGAGCCTTGTTCCCAATTTTCCATTTCAAATGATTGAGGAACCTGAAATTACAGTTGTTATGTAACTGTATGAACAATTGATTAGGATGTAAAACAAAGGATGTGAAATAAGGGTATTTGATTTACCTTTCGAAGGGATACATCCATCTGTATTGTACAGGACCACATAACTTCCCCTCGTACGGCAAATGTATTGGCAAATGCTCCATGGAGTTAAAGAATGCAGGAGGGAAGATCTTCTCAAGCTTGCATAGGATCTCAGGTATGTTTTTCTCCAATCGCTCCATGTCACTAACTGATGTTGTATAGCAACACAAGTCGCAGAAGAATTGGCTGATCCCTGTAATTGCATTCTAAATATGGCCAGGGAGCAATTCCCTCAAAGTTGTGGGCAACATCCTCTCCATGAACACGTGACAGTCATGGCTTTTCATTCCATGGAGCTTACACGCTTGCAAATCTACGCATCTGCTCAAATTGGAGGCGTAACCATCAGGGAACCGCAGCTTCTTAACCCACTCACACAAAACTTTTCTCTGAGCCTTGTCAAGAGCGAATGGAGCCTTTGGCATGAACTCTTTTCCTCTATCATCCTCTTCAAGATGAAGCTGCGGACGTTTACAATATTTGGCAATGTCATTCCGAGCAGATGGCGTGTCACACGTATGCTTTTTCACATCCATTACAGTGTGAATTAACTGATCGAAGAAGTTCTTCTCAACGTGCATGACATCTAAGTTGTGACGAATAAGGAGATGCTTCCAATATGGGAGCTCCCACAAGGTGCTTTTCTTGAACCACCCCTTCTTTTCATGTTTCAGCCTTGATTAGGGGGATTTTCCCTTTATCCACCTCTCGCCATGTGGACCAATCAGGGCCTGACAAGTATCACCCAGTTGGGCTTATCAGGACCTGACACGTGGCGCGCTTCCATTGGTCCACCATGGACCTCCCATGGTATGCCATGTAGCCCTCTCAACCTTGCCTAAACAGGTAAGAGATTGGGCCCAATTCCCAAGGAAGCCCAATCAGTCCTAGGGTTGGCCAAAACCCTAGAACTGGCACACTTCCCAAGGCTATAAATACGGTCATAAATGCTCATTTATGACAGGAGAGACTGTTCACAAGAAACACTCGGATTTACACAAATCCCAAGACAATCACACATTACTCGGTACCGCCTACTAGACCCGTCCTAGCATCCGACACCTATTTACATCCTGCTTTACAAATCCTTCATCTACTAACTTGATCGTTGGAGGCGGAACTCCCTACCCAAGGAGTCTCCGTTATCTTGCAGGTACAAGCGCGTGGTTCCAGCCTCAAAGTTGTAACTCTCCCAAGGGACACGAAAAAACCCGGAACATTTTGGCGCCGTCTGTGGGGAGAGTACCTTTGAGATGGCATCGCAATCTGTACTGACTAATGGTGACAGGCATCTAGAGGACGACTACCAAGAAGACGAGCCTCATGTTGTTTCTGATCAGGACACTGAGCCTTAAGTCGAGACTCGCACGGCCCCAGACCGGTCCTTAAGGGCTCGACGCACTACTCCTCGTGAAAGGCAGGAAAGGCAAGACCAAGCTGGTCCAGGCCAATCAGTTGGGCCATCGGCCGACTCTCACCAAGCGGCCGACTGGACACCTCCTGTCTCGAGAAATGATCTTATGACCATCATGAGAAGTTTCAAGGGTGAGATCAAAGATCTCATCAACAAAAAGACGGCTGTCCCCCAAAAAGGGCAGTCGAGCAAGAAGCCTTCCTATTCAGGAAAGAAGAAGTCATTGAAGGACCGTGAGGCAACCCCCCACCCTCGCCAAGAGGAGAGGCGGGTACCTCTACTCAATTTATCCAAGCACCGTATCCCAGCCTCATTAGGAAGGAAACCAATCCGCCTGGTCCAACCAGACGGCTCAAAGAAGTCCTACTCAGATGCCCGGATGTTGATTCCGCAGAAAAGGAGCCAACAGCAGTCTGAGTCGGCCTCCACTTCTGATTTTCTTGACAGTGTACAAAACACCTCTATGAATCATTCAAGGTCAAACTATGAGATCCGGACAGGTAGTACACACTCCGGTTCTAGCTCTCGCCAACAACAGTCGGCACCATATGCCACTCAGCTGCCATTTGTGCCGCAAACTCACTATTTTCTGCCGCCTCATCCTTTTGGAGGTCAGATGGCTAAGAATGTCCAGCCTTTGGACTGGCAGTTGCGGTTGCTCCAATTGGCAGAACAACCAACCGCCTTCTCAAAGGAAATTTTACAAGCCGCCCAGCCGGCTAAAGTGAAAAATGTGTTAATAGGCGCCTACGATGGCACTGCTAACCCAGAGGATCACCTTATGGCCTTCACCAATCTAATGTACTTTCAAGGATTGGACGATGCCACATGGTGTAGATGCTTTCCTGCCACTCTGAAGGGAGTCGCCCAGCAGTGGTTCGGCAATCTGCCAGCCGGCTGTGTCAATAACTTCAGAACATTGGCTTATTTGTTTGCATCAAACTTTTCCATGAACATACCCGCCAGGAAGAAGACTCTTGATCTAGTAGCCGTCCAACAGGGAGAGAAGGAGGGATTACGCTCCTACATAAAGAGATTCAATCTGATGAGGATACAAATACCCAACTTGCCGGATGAAGTAGCCTATACCGACTTCTTCAAGGGATTGAAGGACGGGTCGAACTTCAAGTTCGACTTAGTCAGAAAAAGAGTAGCTACTCTTCAAGAGGCAATGATGGACGCCGAGACCTACATACAGGCAGTCGACCTCTGTCACATGGGAAAGCAAGGGGACCAGAAAAGGTCCGAGAAAAAGGAGAGTCGCTCACAGAAAGCGGCCCCAAAGGAAGATAAGAAGAGAAAAGATGTTTGGATGGCCGACTCCACTGGTCAGCCGTCCAGTAAGAAAAGAAAAGAGTTCACTCCATATTCCCCCAAGTATGAGTTCAACAAAGATAATCATGCTATTTTGAAAGAAGTTAAGGGTCGACTCTCACTTGAGAAGCCGGCACCCATGAAGGGTGATCCTAGCAAGCGCAACCAAGACAAACACTGCCATTTTCATGATGACGTTGGGCATGAGACCAACGAATGCATTAGCCTCAAGCGTCTGCTGGATCAGTTGGCTGAAAAGGATGATCTGAACTCTTATGTCAAGAAACCTAAAGGAAAACATCCCCCTAAACAAAATCAGTCGGCCAAGCAAAAAAGACAGAAGCCGGCCGACAGCTCTGACACTGATGAAGCCACCATCTATACAATAGCAGGCGGGTATGCAGGGGGAGGCCCGACTGTTCGGGGAAACAAGGATAGCATCAGGAAATTGGATGTCAACTCTGCTAATCGGGGTGAGACCGCTGGTACCTCGTTTCCTGAGGTTATTATTTCTGAGAAAGATTCTGGTGGTGTCCGACGGCCGCGTGACGACCTAATTATCATTGAGTGTAAAGTGGCCAACCAAAGAGTCGGCAGAATACTTATTGATACAGGGAGTTCGTCGGACCTCATCAGCCAAAAGTGCTTGACCAAGCT